ACTTTAATGAATTAGTTAAGTTAATTAATTAATTCTAATTGGTGATTAAGGTCAATTGGTTTATTGTGTTGAACATAGAAACTGACCATCGCTCGGGCGGCTGCAGGGCCTGGTCAGTGAGGTTAAGACGTGCGCACGAGGGTCTGCGATCTTGGGTTTGAGGCCATCGCCCGAGGGATCCTACCTCCACCGAATTGAGGCCATCTTCGGTATTACGGATTGAGGCTATCTCCGTCATAGGAAATAAATGTTAAGTGGTTTGACTTTGGTGAAAGTCTAAATTGGTTTGACCGGTGGTCAAAGAGTCATGGGAAACCCGTAACACCTAAATCGTTTTGAAAAGAAAGAAAATAAGTTGACTGTTGGTCAACCGTCTAAAGAACCGAATTTAAAGTTGAATAGATTTTTATTAAAAGGATAAACATATGTATGATCTTAATTGTTGAATTATTATGTTTATTCTTGTGCTACAATGGAGTACCACTCAGCGTCAATGCTGAGCGGATAGCGTTGTTTTCCTTTTTGCTGTCCGTAGGTGATCAGACAGATGAACCTAGCGCCGATCCCAGAGGGCATTGACGAGGAGATGTACGATGGCGTGGCTGTCTCTTTAATCTGTTGATTATGCTTTATTTAATTAACTTTAATGCTTATTACGTTTTCAGGCAAGATCCCAAGTTGTTTGACTTTAAAAAGGCTTCCGCATTATTTTAAATTACTCCGATGGATTTTTATATGTATTGAAAGAACATTTGTTTAAAATTGTTCTGAAAATGTCGCAAATTCGGATACCAATTCAGTGGCACACCGGTCCGCTGTCTCACGGGTTTGGGTCATGCGGGTTGGGGTGTTACACTTAGCCTTCAGCGGGTTGTAGCGAGACATCCGGTTATCATGTAGTGTTCTGGATTAAAGAATCTTCAAAGTAATAAATTGCTTTGAGAATTCCTTACTTGTCTCTGACATTTCCGATCAAGATATCCAATTTTCATATCGCTGAATTTGATTAAGTCGTCAAAGATTGACATCAAACCATAAAGTGAAATATCACAACTTTATTGGAAATTTCAAGAACTTGGTTTTAACAATATTTTTAAAAAGAAAAATTACATTGAGTATTGGGGGAGACCTAAAGTCCCTATTACAATCTAAATATATCATCATCAAAATCTATAATATTTTTCCAAACAAACCTTATGGAAGGTTATAGAAGATGATGGAAGTGTATGGAGATAAGAAACTTCTAGAGATATTGAAGTTTCTAGAACCCTAAAACTACACATAGAGGAGTACTATAAATAGGGAGAATCCCCTTCACTTCCAACTATCAAAAGTGAAGAAAATAATCCACTTGTAAAGTGAGAAGTCTCTTGGAGAGTGAGAGTGTAAAACTTGGGAAGTCCTAACCCTCAAGCTTGAGTGAGCCACCATAGTGTGAGTCAAACTTGTAAACATATTCTTGTAATCCTACTATTCTTTTATATAGTGGAAGAATCTCCATTTTTGGAGAATTATAAACTCTTGTTCTCTTACTACTACATTGATTCTTAATTGCCTATCTTAACTTCACGAAGTGGGAAAGATCGAGCATTTCCCAACAGTGGTATCAGAGCCTAGTTCACTTGAAACCGTCATTAGCTCGTGCAGTTCAAGATGGAGGAAAACATCACTCATGATGGAGACATGTTCAAGCTCACGGCCAACAACTACTCATATTGGAAACCAATGATGGAAGACCATCTATACTGCAAGGATTTGCATGAGCCCATCATCTATAAAGACAAGGTCGAAGGCAAGAGCGATGCTCAATGGGAGTTACTCAATCGCAAGGCCGTTGCAATGATCCGTAAGTACATTGATAAGACTCTTTTCGAGCATGTTTCTACATACACAAATGCTTATGAGTTATGGACAAAGCTTGAGTCCATGATTCAAAAGAAAACGCCTCGTAACAAAGCCAATTTAGTTCGACGGTTGGTGAAACTAGAGTATAAGGATGGCCAAAGTATGATTGAGCACTTGAACAACTTCAAGGGGCTCGTAAATCAGTTAACAAAAGTTGATATGAAGATTGATGATGAGTTGCAATCCCTTCTACTCCTTAGTTCCTTGCCGGAAAGCTGGGATACACTTTTGGTTACCCTTAGTAACTCAGCTCCTGAAGGAAAGCTCACCATGGATATCGTCAGTGATAGCCTTCTTGGAGAAGAAGCAAGAAGAATTGAATGAGGCGAGCCCACCTATTCCGTGGCCAATATGATTGAGAAGCAGAGTAGGTATGAAACTCGAGGGTGTAGCAAGAGTTGAGATCCACATCAATCTAGAGGTAGATCCAAGTCACGCTCGAAGATTACTTGCTACTACTGTGGAAAGGTAGGCCACAAGAAAACTGAATGTCGATCCCTGAAGAGAGATCAAAAGGCAAGTAACATCAAGCCACACTAGATCAGCCCAACGAAGAAGCAAGAAGAGAAGAGTACTACATCTGTAGTATCAAGAGAAGATCTGCTCTATTTCGTTGGAGAAGGTAATATCCTAAACATAGCTTGTAATGAAAGCTCTTGGATTACAGACTCTGGTGCTTCCTTCCATGTTACTCCACATAGAAGTTTCTTCTCATCCTACCAAAGTGGTGACTTTGGTACGGTGCAAATGGGAAATCAAGATAGGAGCAACATTGTCGGGAAAGAAGACATCATCTTGGAAACAAGTACTGGATGCAACCTTGTATTAAAAGATGTGAGACATGTCCCGGCTATGCGCCTGAATCTTATCTCCGCTGGAAAACTAGACGATGTCGGTCTAGTGAATTACTTTGGTGAAGGAAAGTGGAAGCTCACCAAAGGAAGTTTAACTATGGCTCGAGAAAAGAAGGAAGGATCATTGTATGTGATGCAAGCCAAGCTCTGCAAAGGCGAGATAAATATTACTTATGATGATATGGAGGTATGGCATAAAAGACTTGGGCACATTAGTGAGAAAGGTCTTCACATGCTCACTCGAAAAGATCTCCTCCCTGATGTAAAAGGTAAACAACTTGATCCTTGTGCTCATTGTCTAGCTGAAAAACAACATAGAGTTGCCTTCCAAAGATCCTTTCCACCCACAAGGAGAAAGAACACCCTTGACCTCGTACACACCGATGTGTGCTCGATGTCAGAGAGATCCAATGGTGGTGCATTACATTTTTTCACCTTCATTGATGACCACTCAAGAAAGGTATGGTTATATCTACTAAAGACCAAGGATCAAGTACTTGATGCATTCAAGGAATTCCATGCTCTAGTAGAACGTGAGACTGGACGGAAGATCAAGTGTGTACGGTCTAATAATGGAGGGGAGTATAGAGGTCCTTATGAAGCCTATTGCAAGAAATATGGAATTCGGTTGGAGAAGACTCTACCTAAGACACCACAATTGAATGGGCTGGCAGAGAGAATGAATCGAACTATTGAAGAACGAGTTTGATGCGTGCTCTCTCATGCAAAGTTACCCAAATCATTGGGGAGAGGTGTGATGAATGTGGTTGATGTTGTAAACTTCACACCATCAGTTCCTATGGAAGGGGCCATCCTAGAGGAAGTTTGGTGTAACGCCCCGAAATCTGGCCCAAAAGAATTAATTAAATTGTTAGAGCAATTGATTACGAATTGGGCCCAAAAAGGGGTTAAAATTATAATTTGGATTCTAAGCCCAACTTTTATGTCATCTCGTAGGAAATAATTTTGTGATCGCGTCGGTTCAGACGGCTCGCGAATCAGAGTTATGGAGCTCATGTTATGACCATTTAATCAGGTATTTTAGGTCCGAAGCTCAATCCTTTTAGGAATGGGACCATTAAATAAACCTAAACCCATTATAACAACACGATCGTTATCTTCTTCTTCTCCTTCTCCTTCTTCTTCTTTCTTCTCCTTCTTCGTCTTCAACAGCCGCAGGTCATCCCTGCCGTCCGACCTCCGCCCCCTCGCCGCACCAACCAACTGCGGGCTTACTGTCGCCGGAAGCCCGTCGCCTACAGCCAGGGTCAGCGCCGCCGCCGACGGTCTCCAATCGCCGCTGTTTCGTCTTCGCCGGAAGTCCACCGCTCATCACCGTCGAGCGCCGCCGTCGCCCTTAGCTCAGGTCAGTCTCTTCTTCATCTTCCTCGCAATTTCCTCTGCAATCGGACCTCTGGAGCAGCGCCACGCCGGATCGCCACCTTCGCCGGCGGTCGCTGCGACTCACCGGACTGATTCACCGCTGGTTCACCGTTGTTGCAGCTAGGGATTTCGCCGGACAGAGGCCATCACCGGAGCTGCTCCTCTGTTCGTGATTTCTGAGAGCTGCTGCCGCCTCGCCACTGTCGCCGGCGTCCGTCACCGTCGCCGCATCCAGCCACTGCCCCGGATTTATATCACCGGCAGATTAACCTCCACGCCGGATTGATTGGTCGATTTCGTATTTTGACTCAATTTGACCCGTTCGTTTGATTTCGTTGATTTGTCTTCCGTTCGAGCTATCGATTCGATTTCGGTGTAATCCAGGTCCGTACTATGAAGTTAATAGCATTTAGAATAGATTTAATGGGTTGGATCGTTATATGTGTTTATGCTATAATTTGGCTAAATTGGTTAATTGAATTAAATTGATTATTTGAATTGAATTGTTGAGGATTGTGAATTGACTGAACAGGTTTGACTTTGATTCGGGTTAGGTCACGTTTGACTTAGGCTTTGACTTGATATTCTGTCGACGTAGGTTTGACCGAATGGTTAAATCCAAGACTTTAATGAATTAGTTAAGTTAATTAATTAATTCTAATCGGTGATTAAGGTCAATTGGTTTATCGTGTCGAACATAGAAACTAGCCATTGCTCGGGCGGCTGCAGGGCCTAGTCAGTGAGGTTAAGACGTGCGCACGAGGGTCTGCGATCTTGGGTATGAGGCCATCGCCCGAGGGATCCTACCTCCACCGAATTGAGGCTATCTTCGGTATTACGGATTGAGGCTATCTCCGTCATAGGCATTAAATGTTAAGTGGTTTGACTTTGGTGAAAGTCGAAATTGGTTTGACCGGTGGTCAAAGAGTTCATGAGAAACCCGTAACACCTAAATCGTTTTGAAAAGAAAGAAAATAAGTTGACTGTTGGTCAACCGTCTAAAGAACCGAATTTAAAGTTGAATTGATTTTTATTAAAAGGATAAACATATGCACGATCTTAATTGTTGAATTATTATGTTTATTCTTGTGCTACAATGGAGTACCACTAGCGTCAATGCTGAGCGGATAGCGTTGTTTTCCTTTTTGCTGTCCGTAGGTGATCAGACAGATGAGCCTAGAGCCGATCCCAGAGGGCATTGAGGAGGAGATGGACGATGGCGTGGTTGTCTCTTTAATCTGTTGATTATGCTTTATTTAATTAACTTTAATGCTTATTACGTTTTCGGGCAAGATCCCAAGTTGTTTGACTTTAAAAAGGCTTCCGCATTATTTTAAATTACTCCGATGGATTTTTATATGTATTGATAGAACGTTTGTTTAAAATTGTTTTGAAAATGTCGCAAATTCGGATACCAATTCAGTGGCACACCGGTCCGCTGTCTCACGGGTTTGGGTCATGCGGGTTGGGGTGTTACATTTTGGTATCGGAGCATTTGGTTTTAAAATCGGTCTTTGGACCCTTTCAAAAAAAATACAATGAATAATTCAGCCGCATCTGCATCTCACGTAACTCCTCTGCCCCGGGAAGGTAATAAGTATTTATAGCTTTATCTGTTAT